AAAAAGAGAAACAAATGTAATAATCTGAACAATAAAGATTTAATTAAAAAATATATATATATATATACATGCTATTCAAACTGAAAGGAAAGTTGTGCAAGGACAAAACAGGAGTGAGGGCTTTGAAAAGTACAGAAAACAAGAGCCCTCTCTTTAAAAGACCAATACACAGACATACGAATATTCTACTTGGAACTTCAATTGTAGACAACAGCCCCTTTTGTAATTGTATGTTGCTTCCCAGTTCTGTGCTTCCTTTTCCCCTATATTCTATAACCTCTGCTGGAAGTATGAACTATTCCAGGATTCCCTATTACCCCAGGTTTGACTCAGTACAGGTCATTTGCTGGCCAATCCAAGACACTACTTCCTTTCATTTTCAGTATTTCCCTCAAACACTCTCCTTTAAGTTTGTCTTACATAAAACCCGGTTTTCCTTTGTCCTCAAGGAGCTTACAGACTAGCATGGGAATCAGTCAGGAAAACTGGATATATTATTGTAACTGTAAGCACAAGTTGCTATAAAAGCTAAGCAGGGCATCGAACACTAACTAGCTAGGGGAAAACTCAAAAAAGAAACCTAGAGGAAGTTTTTAAGCAGTACGCAAAATACATTTGGACAAGAACGAAGCTAAAGACAGAGAACTAACTAGCTTATATGCTAAGCCTAAAATGATGAATTGAACAAAGAATATGGGAAAAGGTGACTTATGATATACTTTAGCCTGGCCGGCATGGCTCAGTGGTTGAGCATCGACCTATGAACCAGGAGGGCTTGGTTTGATTTCCTGGTCGTGCACATGCCTGGGTTGCGTGCTCCATCCCCAGGGTGGGGTATGCGGGAGGCAGTCGATCAATGACGCTCTCTCATCATTAATGTTTCTCTCTCTCCCTCTCCCAGATACACTTTGAACTATGTCAAAGGTATTTTTTAAAGTTAAAATTCTAATACTTACATAGGAATAGGAACTTGACATGGAGGACAAGGTAATGCAGCCTGAATAAATGCTGGCTCTGAAGGCTGTTCCCAAGGGCCTGTAGGCTGGTGCTACAAGTAAAATGCATAACAATTTTAAGTCAGAGGGGTAAAATCACATGGCCATTAAAAGAATCTTAGAAAATTGTTCCATGTATCCTCCACTCAAGTAGGTTGAATATTTTTCAAAAATATCAACAAATTGTGTTTACTGAAATATTCCATTCCATCTGCATTCTATCAGCTTGTTCCTCTCCATAAACATTTGATATTAAAAACTGAGGCAGACTCCAGTGTTTTAATGCCAGAACAGAGGCAATAGAGCCTCCTTCACTTCTCATAGGCCAAAGGGAGAATGAGAAACAGAATTGTAAACTCTACCTTCCACCAGCTGAATGGTATCTCCATTTTTTTGCTCACTGTTGTCTCCCTAGCACCGAGAAGAATGCTTACATAGTAAGGACTCAATAAATATATTAAAAATGTGACTGAATCTTTGAGGAAACCAAAAGATACCTATAACCATAAAACACATGTGAAGAAAAACTGCCAAATTTATCTCTATCTTGAAGATAAAATGACTATCACACTATATTTGCAAATATTTGTTTATTGGTCTCTCTCCTTTTCTATACTGTACACTTCTTAAAACAAAAGATCAAGTCTTGGTTACTTTGTACTCCAGCTCCTATCAGTGCTCAATACCATATAAGTACTTACTTACTGCTTGTTGAATGACTAAGAGAAATTCAGAAAATATGACTCACAGCAATCCACTGTCTCGTCAGAATATTGTTTCCTTACCCTGCCAGTTTGCTTTATTAATGCTTGATCATGACATGGAGCAGGACACAAGTGACCACATTTCTCCAACACTTTTTGGCAAGGTTGATGACATGGAGGACAAGAGCCAAAGTGACAGCGATGTTTTTCTTGACTTGTATGATGGCAAGTTGGTGGGCGACTAAATCATAAAGTACAATTTTTAAAATTACTTTTGATCATTGAAGAATTATATTTAAAGTGAAATCATCTATTTATATATCTTGTGATTCTATACAGAATAAGAATATACTGTGAATATTAGTATTTTAACACATTAAAGCAAAATTAAAAATATTAACAATATTAAAAATCAATATGAATTTAAGTTGGTAAGACACAAATATAAGTTTGTGCAAAGCTTCCTACCAACCTGCACAGCTCTTTGCACTTGGGTGGTCTTGTGGTACGTTCTCGGCCACAGGGTACTGTCACCTTTGTACTACCGCAATTGCACTTCACATCTACAGTTTCTGGGCAAGGATAGCAACTCCCTGAAAAAAAGGCTGAAAGTTAAAATTTACTTAACTACCCAAATGTCTATCAATAGTAGAAACATCAACAAAAACATGTCCTCAGGTGAGGATTTAAAAAAAAAAAAATTATGTGTAAAAATCAAGTAGGACTGGTGTTCCTTGGTAAGAAAATTCTAAACTACACATCCAATTTCTTTAATGGCCATTCGACTAGTCAGATTTTTCTACTTAAAGTAAAGGCCAGTGTTTTTAAAAATAGTCTACAATGTTCTATACATATTCTCCTTTCCCCAGCCATCTTTATCGCACCATCTCTCTGACCTAATCTCCTACCATCTGTGCCCTTGAGCACCTCTTCCATGCTCCTTCAGTTCCTTCAAGTGCTCCTGTCTCAGGGCTGCTGCAATCGCTGCTTTCTGGCCTGGAACATTACCCTCCCCTATTGCCACAGGGCTAGATCTCTTACTTCTCAGGTCTTCTCTCAAATGTCGTCCTTTCAGAGTCATCCCCTGATCACACTATATAAAATAGTATATACCATCCCCACTGTCACCATTTAAATTTTACTCTAATTTCCTTTCTATATGTGGCACCACTCATATTCTATATGAATTTGATTAGTTATTTGTATTCTATCTGAGGGAAAGTAAAAATAAAAAAGTTCCATAAGAGCAGGCACTTTGTCAATATGGTTCACTCCTGTAATCCCAGTGCCTGGTACTTAGTAGACAAGGCAAAAAACTTATTGAATAAATTAATGATTAATGCAGAGAATGTTAATGAAATTTAAATTTGAGGCAATGATATGATTATAAAGGAAATAAGATCCTTTTCAGGGTTAATGGAATCTGTCACTTTTCCTAATGGGGAGGCAATGTGGTATAATGGAAATATCATTAAAGTCTGAATTCACATCCTGACCCTGCAACTAGTTCTATGACCTTGGGCCAATAGTCTCTTGGTCAGTTTCCTTATTATAGTAAACAACAATAGTGCCATATGCTTTGTAAGAGCTCTGAGAGGATTAAGACATTAACTAAGATATCTAACATGCACATAATCCCAAAGGAAAACAGTAGTTTGTCCCAGGTCATAAAGCCACTAAGCGGCAGAGTCCAGACTTGAACCAGGACCTCTTACCCTAAGTCCATGCTCTTACCACTACCTTATACCATCGTTTAGTAAATTACATTTCATACTGACATATTCCAAATGGGTAAAGTTAACTCAGTTTTTAATGTCTAATAACTTAGGCACCCCTGAGACTCCTTCAGAGGGTCTGCAAGATCTCACATATATAGAGTAGAGTTTTCCAGAAGCTATATGACAAGTGATATCAAAAGAGATTGAATGCAGAAGCGGGTCTGTAATTCCAGCCATCTCCTATTAAGTTAGACAGTAAAGACATTTGCAAAAATGTAAAAAATACCATTCTCACTAAATTTTTTTCAGAAAAGTTATTTTTCACAAAAAAAGTTACTGTATTAAGAAGTAATGGGGCTTTATTATTTTTAAATAAAATAATAAATATTATTACATTTTATTTCAACTTAAAATATAATAAATATCAACAGATAAAATCCACACTCACAAAAGCTCTTTGGGTCCCAGAGTGTAAAGAGGTCTTGAGACTAAAAAGTTTAAGAACTACTGGCTTAGGATATATCCAATTCCTTACTAAACTTAATTCCATTAAAATGTCTAAAATTCAAAGTAAAACTGAAAAACCTAAGAACATATTTATTAATTCAAAAATTCTGTGGGGAAGATTGGAAGGAAACAACATGGTGTTATAAAATAACAAAACTTTTATATTCAGAAGACCAGGGCTTAAATCTTGGCTATATTGGTTTACTAGGTTTTTCCCTGTGTACGTACGTCACTGAACCCTCTTAACTTTAATCTCCTTCTCCATAAAGTCACAATCTTGGCAACTGCCCTACCTTCTCAGTTATTAAGAGGACAAACTAAGATAATAAATGTGAAAGCTCTCTATCAACCTTTTTTAAAAACACTATGTAAATACAAACATGAAAGTACAGCTACTGTTAAATTTTACCTCTGTGGCAGACAGATGGACACTTATGATTTCTACATCCTAAAGTCCGTCCACAGTTTTGATCACAAGGTGTACAGTTTCCAGGACAACACTGAAGAGAAAGCAATATATAAATAATAGGTCATCTAAAAAGCATGCATAATATAAATGTCATTACTAGGTATTCACAGAACTTGTGGAAAGCAAAAGATACTGTACTTCTTTTCAATATAAGAATAAAAGTAGTGAAGAGTATCAACATTCTTCTGATAAGTAGATATGCCATATTAAGAACTTGTAAGTTTAAATAATGTCCTAATTTACCAAAATCCAAGATAAATTTTCTTGCATTTCAGTACATTATTCTATGACTTAAAACATTCCCATAATTTTCATTTCTACTTATATATGCAGAGATTGGCAACATTAACCAAAGGAATAGATCTGGTCAAATCTTATAGTCAATTCAGGCAAACAATTGGTCTGATTATTCTAAAAATTTAGTTAAAAAAAAAAACAGTTAAATGTATAGATTAGTTTAGCAATTATTTTTAAGCCATGGAATCAGAGATTAACTAAAGGAGAAAAACAGAGATTAGGTTATTTGCTTCTAACTTTTATAACTTCCCTGATTTCCAATCTGTTTGTAAGAAATACACCCGTCTACGACTTGTCCCAATTTTCATTCATGAACAAAAGGCAACTACTTATATTCCACCTTGCTATTCTAATTCCCTCCTTGACTTCTCATATATCCGAACTTTGGAGAGAAAATGCAGACTATAATTGTCTTAAACTTGGGATTGAAACCTACTTTAAGAACAAGTTTCAGTATATAAAAATAGCTCAAAACAAAATATACTTTATTGAAAAGCAATTAAAAGTCAAAATAGTTCACTAAATCAGTCAAATATTTACTAAGATTATGTGCCTATCACTTTGCTAGTGGCAGTGTGCGAAAAGAAATTTTGTGGTCCATGACTTGAATAAGCCTTTAGACACTTCTGTTCCAACCATGGTGGAGTAAACAACAACCAGATTTATACTCCTGCCTTAAACAACTAGGAAATCAGACAAAATATACAGACATGGAAGATATAGATAAGACCCAAACCCAACTCTCAGGAATGAAAAACTATAATATCTGAGATGAATAAACATAGGATGTGATAAAAAAAAGGATTAGACAAAGCAGAAGAAAATTAATTCCACAGTATAAGACAAAGCCATATAAACTAAAACACAAATTTTAAAAACTAAAATTAATAAATGGAACATCAGTGAGCTGAGAGACTTCAAGTAGCATAACATACATATTGCAGTCTAGAAGGCAATGGGTAGGGGGAAAACATTTGAAGAAATAAAAACTGAAAATTTCAAAAAATTGATCAAAACTATAAACCTACAGATCTAAGAAATTCAACAACAAAAAATTAATGAAACATGAATAAAGCTATATCAAGGAATACCACAAATTGCTAAAAACTGGTAATAAGTTTTTTAAAAATAGCCCAAGGAAAAAAAGATATATTGAAAACAGAAAAACAAAGATAATCATAGCACACACACTTTGTTGGGAAAATGCAAATTAAAAGAGGGTGGAGCAAAAAAACTTTCAAACTAGAATTCCACAGTATAAGTATTTTTCACAAACTAAAGATATTTTACAAAAGCTAAATATATTTTACAAAAATTGAAAGAATGACCAGCACTACAAAAAATGTTAAAGGAAGTCCTTCTGATAGAAAATGAAAGCAGACAGAAACCTAATATAAAAAAAACCTGAAAAACACCAAAAATAACGTTTGATAATCTATAATAATAAAAGCATAATCTGCTAATTAGACCGGACAGCCAAATGACCTTCTGGACATCCTTTCGGACATCCTTATGACCTTCTGGACAAAGCTGGGACTGCGAGAGCCAAGGCAAGCCACTGTGGCTTCGAGGGCTGAGCACCTTGCACGATTTTCGTGCATCTAGTAAATTATAAAAGACTACTTTTTCTTATTTTTTCAATCTCTTTAAAAGATACCTGACTAGTTAGATCAAAAATAAACATATTATATTTGGGGGTTATAAAATACATGGGTATAAAATGTGTAAGAATCAAATAAAGGATTAAAATAGAATCATTGAAGAGCAACACTCAATAAAATAGAAATAAGAAAAAAGAGAGAAAAGGAATAAACAGATAAGCAAATAAGAAATAAATAGTAAAATGATATTTAAATGCAACCATATTAAAGATCACATTAAATGTAAGTGATCTATACCCAAATTAAAAAACAAAGATTGTTCTGCTAGGATAACACAATTATCTAAGTGCTGTCTATAAGAAAACCATTTTAAACATAAAGTATAAATAGGTTAAAAAAGAATGAAAAAGATTTACCATGCTAACACTAAGCAAAAGAAAGTTGAAATCACTATATTTCAATAGGAATCTTACCAGAGATAGAGGTATAATTCATAATAATAACGAGGACCCCCCCCCAAAAAAACTGCAAATCTACAAACTCAATAAAATACTCCAGTTGACCATATACTGAACCAAGTGTCTATAAATAAGATTTGAACAATAAAAATTAAACCAGCAAATGAACTATCACTCTTAACATTGCTATGATGTTTTAAAGTCAGGAAACAAAAATCGCTTAAGAAACAAGCTGAGAGAATAATACACGAGATTAAAAAGTCTCTTGTCATTTAAAAATCTTGGTAAGATTTCCCACTAATATAAACCATTAGGATTAATCTAGAATATGTATTAATACTTCATATGGGAAGCATAGAATATGCTTGGATATTTGAGAAACATGTCAAGGTGGTGCTTATCATAGGCCTACAGAGGAAAAATTCAAAAGAATTTTTAAAGCAATGTCCCTAGCTTATTACACATACCTTTCTCTTACACTGATGCTTCTGACAGTCACGCATCTTAACACACTTAGTTTCACAGAGATAAGGTTTATGACATGGCATTCGTTTTGTATGCTTTCCACAGCGACACTGCTTTTCTACTTCCTGGAAGAATCAAATAAATGCTATTAAAACTAACTTTTGTTAACATGATTTCTTTTCACCTTGCCAAATTTTTATAATTACTAAAAAATGAAGGAACCCAGTCAGTGTGGCTCAGTGGCTGAGCGTCAATCTATGAACCAGGAGGTCACAGTTTGATTCCCAGTCAGGCACACACCTAGGTTTCGGGCTTGATCCCCAGTGTGGGTGTGCAGGAGGCAGCCGATCAATGATTCTCTCTCATCATTGATGTTCTATCTCTCTCTCTCCCTCTCCCTTACTCTCTGAAATGAGTTATATATAAAACCACACACACACATATAAATTTTTGAAAAAAATGAAAGAGGAAAGCTTTAAGAGCAAACTTGTATGAAAGGAAGACTTTACCAAAGCTAAATCAGAATTTCCTAAAATAGTTGTTTGTATCTTACTTTGTTCCAAAATAGACTTCATATGAATTTTCATTATTAAATTTAGTAGGAATTTAATACTAAATAGTTAAACAATACCACACATTAAAATCGATTACATGTGGTTATACCATGACATGGGCACATCTTATTTCAGTAAAGCAAGAAAATTGGATTATCTTGTAAGCTAATTTGTTGACTTGGTAGTATGGTCATAACCAAGGTGACATATATATAATTTAAAAGTCTCAATTAAGCCTAAGCATTCATTTCTTTCCATCATCACTAAGCCTAATTCTTCATTGCTTTGAATGTCTACTGGGAACAAATAACCTCACTTTGGACCATAAAAATAAGAAGTTCAAACTTTAACCAAGCAAAATCAAACAAAAGGTGATTTTTGGACTTGATTGCTGGCATCCTCTCATGCTTCTTCACCATACCCATTAGGTCACTAAACTCATTCAGGTCATCGTATAGGTATTTATAAAACTAAGTAATGGAAAACAATTACAGAACAATCCCATCACACATAACAGAGAGCTCTTAGAATTAATTATTACAGGAGATGACTAACTTGTCTACATGTTTCACAAGGACCTCGGTGACAACGCTGTGAACATCTATGGACTCCACATTCAAGTAACTTGTCACAACTATCTCCACAAGTTGGCACATCTTCTGTACAAGGCAAAGAGAACTCTAAAAGCAGACAAAAAGTTAATGTTACTAGTAACACACATTATTATGAAGCACTAACAACATGCCATGTTCTTTTGACTCCCTAAAGAATGACAGCCCTTTCAGACTATGAATTTTTGCATCTATGTAACTATTAGAAAAATTAACTTTAATAAAAATAATCCCTAATATTTGTGAAGTTAATGTAAAGTTAAACAAAATTTGACATATTACAAGTTACTTCAAGAAGCACATTTATAAGCTATTTCAGAAATACTTATCTGAAGAAATAATGTCATGTAACCTCTATGAAGAATTCCACAATATAGAATTATAAAAACAATTTGCTCTTAATAACCTCACCAGATAAAAGAAAAGAAGTAGATTCAAAAACATAATGAAACTCACCTTCGACATAAACATGACAAGTACTGGCAATAATCTTATGAGCATGTGTGCTGGCATTGGTACAGAGTCTACAGCCCTTCCATGCCTTTAACTCAAAGCAACCAAAACTAAATTCACTTATAGCCCAATACACAATAATGACAATAGCCTGTAATTATTAGGTTTCCTTTATATGTTAGGCACTACACTAACTGTTTTATGAGCATTTTATCATTTAATTCTCACACACATCTTACAAAGACGGTACCATCATTGACTCCATTTAACATGAGAAAATTAGAGTTCGTGAAGGTGGGATTTGAAGCCAGATATGCCTGATTCCAAAGTCTGAGGTAAAACATGTTATACTGTCTTCTCATCCAAATGTACAGAAATCTAACATTAAATGTGTATAATTATTGAAACTACATTATGAACTCACAGAGAAATCTAATGAGGAAAGTACTCTAGTTAGCATAAAAAATAATCATATCCCATTAAAGGTTTAAAAATAGTCTTACTTGACTTCTGACATGGACAGAATCTTTTCCCAGATCGAGGACATTCTCCACAAGCACCAACATGACAAATTTGCTCACATGTATGATTACCACATGGCAAGGTTTTCCCACATACCTAAAATAAAATGCAATAAGCACTAGTGAAAAACTTAAAAGTTAACAAAAAAGACTTTGTACATTACATAATCCATAATCCATTTTTTCTTTGTACATAATCCATTTTTCAATCACAAGCCACTTTTTTATGTTCCTCATAATTTGTTTTTCTCTCTTAGGTATCATATATCTATAATAATAAAGTGTAATATGGAGCTAATTAGACTGGATGTCCTTCCGGACAACCTTCCAGACGCAGCCGGGGTTGGCTGAGGCAAGCCAACGAGGCTGCAACTGACCAGCAGGCTGCAGCGGGTGGGCAGGGCCTCCCTCTGCGAGGGAAGCCTGGGTCCCGGGTGCTGGTGCCCCGGTCTGGGTGCCAGAGGGAAGCTGGTGCCGGCAGCCAGGGGAAGGAAGGCCTACTCCTGCACAAATTTTGTGCGTCGGGCCTCTAGTAAATACATAAATACACACACATACATACACATATACTACTATATACACATACATACATATACATGTTTATAGACACATTCCTATGCACCAAAGAGTATATTTTTAAAATATAATACAGGAAAAAAGTATATACAGCTTCATATGGCCATCCACCAAAGATTTCCAAATGGTACTAAAACCATGCCAATTATAGGAAAAACAATCTATAAAATCAATTCTACTTCCTCAATTGGATTAACTCAAGAAGTGAGGAGGGGTGTTGTTTAAAGAGAGGGGAAAGGAAGGGAGAAAGAGCTAGCAAGAAAGACAGCATATATATGTATTGAATCCAAAATTCAACAAATAGTTGTTAATTTGAAAAAAAATTACAATATTAAATTGGAAAAGTTTCCTAAAATGTGAATATAATTCATTTAAGTTACTATTCTTCCTTTCATTTTATCCAACTAAATCAAATGAGCTAAATCCTGATTAGCATTTCTGATATGCTTTCCGTATTCTTTAATGCCCACGCCCTCAAAATGCATGGACACTTACTTGATCACAGCGCCACTGTGGACTTGCACAGCTTCTTTCAGTTACTTGTTTGCCACAGACACACTTTTGCCTACTAACTCTTGGACAGGGCGGACAACTTCCTAAAATCACAATTACAAATTAGCACAGACACATTATAAAGCAATAGAGACTGCTTTCACTTTGGCTAAAAGGTACGGTCTTTCACCTGCATGACAAGGATTTTCACATTTATGTTGTCCACAAAGCAACTTCCGCCCACATGCCTGCTGACAGGACCATTCCTTGGCACTGCATCTACGAGGGATGGGTTTTGCTTTCTTACAGTAACAAGTAGTTGTGACCATCTTTGGACAAGGAGGGCAGGGACCTAGAATCCAATAAAAGGGGGGGAAATCAGAGGTCAAAGATAACTTTCGATTCCCATACCTATTATTGATTTCTAAAGCTTTCCTTGCTTATACTTCAAAAGACATCCCCTTTCAATATTTCCTTCTATAAACTTAAGTTCTCAATTCAACTTTCACAATTTTTTTTTTTTTTGCCTCAAAGTAATATCCACCCACAAACAATTACAAATGTAATATATAACTTACCTGGATGACAGAGGAGCAAACATTTATGGCCGCAAGGAGGTTTAAATTCTCTTTCACATACTTGGCCACATGAATGAGGCACAAGCCACGGATCTAAAGGTGGATCTTCTACTTTTCCACAATAGCAATAGTACCTACTAGGTGTGTCAGATCGTTTGTACTCAAACCTACATTTTGGACTACAAAGAAGAATTACAGAAGTTAATTTCATTTTTAAAAGTGATACAAGAGACAGGAATATACATACACTTAGCAATATGGTATACTCAATTTGCTTTATGTAAGGCACTCTGCTCCATTTTTATATTAGTGAAAAACAAGATTTTACTAAAATAAATTTCAACCATCTAGAACAGCTTTATCCAATATAATTTCCTGAGGTAATGGAACAGTTCTATACCTGCCAAGTCCAATATAGTAATTATTAAACATATATGGCCAGTGAGCACTTGAAATGTGGCTGATGCGTACAACTGAGAAAGGACAGAACTTTGGTAATTTTAAAAAAATGTAAATAACCACAGGTGGCAAGTTGCTAATGTATTAAACAGCATAAATAGCTAGATCCTGGCTTCACCATATAAGAGTAAAAGAAGTCTGAACACATCATTTTATTTCAACTAACTTTAATATCCTCATTGGTAACATGGGAATACACTCTCTCACAAATGACCAAGAATTACTTTTACGAAACTATTCTATCTGAAATGTTTTTAAAAACTACATTCTATCACAATTTGATAAATACAGGGTGGGGCAAAAATAGTTCACAATTCTGAGTATGCAAAACACAGAGTTTATTATTGAATTAATTATTAGTACATTATTTTCCATACGAACAACTGCAAACCTACTTTTGCTCAATCTCGTATATCAGCTATGGTAACAAGAGGTCTAATGTGGATTCAGGTTTTCTAAATCCTGAATCTTACATAATCTATGGGCCACTGTTAAGAGAAAGAACATAAAATTAGTTACAAAAGTGAATATTATGTGACCACACAGAGACCCTGAAATTTCTGTGTCATTATCTTGACAGTAAATCTACCCTTTTGGTTGCCAGTGTGAGTAAATTTTTTTATTGTCTTTATTTAGCAGATTTATAAAATTTTCATTCCCCAACTCTTTCTGGAAATATTACAGAAGTTCAAGATCAAATCATGAATAAACCATCTAATAAAGTAAATGTAGAAAAAAAATAATAATATTGAATAATATATACCTACAGTTTTGAGAGATTTGGGGGATAAAATTGAAAAGCTTATGATCAAAATGTGTTAGATGACAGTCTTATACAATGTGATATTAATGTATACTAATATGAACTCCGGGAGAGAAGTACCAGAATCATGAAGAATTACAGTCTTATAGAAAAGAAAGTTTTGCAGGGGGAAAATAAAGTCTGAATAATGGTTTATTAACTAGTGGGAAATAAAAGCCATTACCAAGCCCCATATCTTCACAAACGAAATGACTAACTGAAGGCCAAACATGGACACTGAAACTGCCAATAAAGCAACTTATGAGCTAAATTTTAATTTATTTTACAACTTGATATTCCAAAATTAGAAAAATTACCAAGGCCAGGGATAATCTCTCCTTCCGAAATCGTCATCTGTCAGAGAAGATACCAGAAACTGGCTGTCTTTAGCCCACTTCTGGATACAGGGCATGTGAAATATACAGAAACATCCTGAACAACTCCAAACCTAAGACAAAAGTATCAGATATTAACATATATACAATGATTATTTTTCTTTGATAATTACATAAAAATACTTTAAAATAAGCACCACAGTAAATTATTTTCAAGCGCAAACTACGGATTAAGAAAAATAATTTTGCCCTGACTGGTATGGCTTAGTTTGTTGAGCATCGTCCCATGCTCAGAAAGGTCAAAGGTTCAATTTCCGGACAGGGCACATACCAAAGCTTTGGGTTCGATCCCTGGTCGGGGTGAATACAAGAGGCAACCAATCGATGTTTCTCTCTCTCTCTCTCAAAATCAATTTTAAAAAACATACTTAAAAAAAAGAAATATAATTTTTCCTTCCAGAATAACATATGCAATGTTCTTTAAAGAAAAATATCATTAACCATCCAGATTCATTCAACTAGAAATAACTACAGTGGGGCCTTGACTTACGAGTGTCCCGACTAACAAGTTTTTCCGAGATACAAGATTCTCTCGGCCAATTTTTTGCTTTGAGTTGACAGAGTAATTTGAGTTAACGAACTCCTTAATGAGCTCCGTCACAGAACGAATTAAACTGGTAAGTCAAGGCCCCACTGTACTGCTAACATTCTGGTCAGACTCTAATACTTTTTTTCTAATTTTAATTTTTTAAAATCTTTATTGTTGAAAGTATTACATAGATCTCCTTCCCCCCGCCCCCGTCTCTAATATTTTTAAAAATGTGTTTCATATTTTTTAAAAGGAGTCATGCCATACTGACTGATATGTAACTTCATAGCCTTTTCTTTTAATATAGTACAGTAAAGCCTTGTGCAGTGTTTCAAGTATTCCTTAAAGGCTTAAGGAATAAAAGTAATTAATTTTAAAACCTACCAATGCTTTAATATAACTGACAAAAATTAGTTCTCCTTTCATTATAACATTTCTCAACTGTTTAATAAAATCAGACATGTAGTGTATTGCATAAACTGGCAACAGCATTTTTTAAAAAAGTCAACTTTTTAGTTGCGTTCTTCCTCAATCAGCGACTAAGAAAAGAACTGGGATGTGGGAGTTAGGAGAGGACAAGGTGGTAAAAGAAAAAATGCCAATGAATGGTAAACAGTTGAGCTGATTACAGCTAAGGACCAAAGTTCAGTCCTGCTAGGGACCCTCTGAAGAACCATTTAAAACATACCTAGAACTATCCCCAGCCCCAACAGAGAGGAGGTTGGGGTACTCATCTACCAATTCCCTGTGATGGAACGTTGGCCCAAGAGGGATTAACTCCCCTGTGATTCTGCACTACACCCGTGCACTGGCCAAGTTGGTTCCCAAGGAGGAAGCATTAACATTAAAAAAACAAACAAACCATACACATACAGAGTGTTTAAGGTAGAACTGTACCCACATGCAGAGACTATACATCCATTGCAGTTGAAATCAGAATAAACCAACCAGATATGACTCCAAGCACCAAAGGTATCTGCATTTGCTATGCTATCCTATCCAATGTGTTAAGTTTCTGATTCACTCTACGTGATCAAACCATTTTATTTGGCCTTTTTTCCTCTAGACCAGTGGATCTCAATCTGTGGGTCGCGACCCCTTTGGGGGTCAAACGACCTTTTCACAGGGGTCGCCTAAGACTACTGGAAAACACATATATAATTACATATTGTTGTTGTGATTAATCACTATGCTTTAATTATGTTCAATTTGTAACAATGAAATTGGGGATCACCACAACATGAGGAACTGTATTAAAGGGCCGCAGCATTAGGAAGGTTGAGAACCACTGCTAGACAATACTGCTGTAATAGCTGTGGATTAATCTAAGGTCTAAATGTTGAGTCTATCATAGTCATCACTTCCCCTTAATTGCTCCATTAACACCCTTTTAAATTTACATATATGTAACTTCACCCTTCGGCCATCTCATCCCTAAGTACTACATAAGTTATGTCTGAATCCATCTCTCCCCAATGACAACAGTCACTTTCCACCATGGCTTCAACACAAGAAAAGCTCACTAAATAAACCATGGTCACTGCTAGGTTCTACTTCCTTGAAGGCATCTTTTTTTCAACCTGCTAAAAGTAATGAAATATAGTCCATTTAAACATTTCAGTATTTGTGAGAATCTCTAAAGTACAAAGATATTAAAAATGCTTTATCACAATGACATGAACATTAAAACTGAAGATACTTGCTTCAACTATATTAATAGTGCTAAATATATTGGATGCTCATTTAGAAGTTTTTTAAAAATTACAGATTTACAAAAATAAAAATCCTCAAATGAAGCATTTTTAAACAAAAATAAGCAAAAACATAATAAATGATTAAGTATTATAAATGCAATGTAAGATATTTTGGGGAGATCCATTAATATAGATAAGGAGAATAACTTACTGCCTGGTTTCTCTTCACTGAAGCAATACAAATTAAGCATGTCATAGCCCCTGCTTGAAAAGCTTCATTTAAATACTGTTTCGTTCGCTCTAATTCACATACATCTCCATCTTGAAATTTAAAAATTGAAAACTTCATGTTAAGCAACATCTGAAAATAACACAAACTCGCTAATAGCACTACATAGTAGGTGAGAAATGTCTAGCAGTATCAATTGCTCAAAATATAGCTTAAAATTAGAAGTTTAAAAACAGCAACCAGCGAGCTGCCAAAAGGTCACAAAGTGCATGCGTTAAATCTTATATATTTGATTCAAAACCAGTATCTTGGCCCTCTCAGAGCATACTTGCTTTTATTGTTGTTACAGTGCTTACCAAATCTGGTAGGGGCAGAGCCATAGACAAGAGCAGCAAGATGCGAGTAACAAGGGAAAGCACATCAAAGCAAAGTGAAAGACACTGAATGTCAAAGCTCAACAGAGCCATGTAGCCTAAATATAAGCACATACATGTATGTTTGTCTGCGTGTGTGTGACACACAGCATTGTTTTAATAAAAACTTATTGAATAAAAATATCCTGAGGTCATTATAGTATAGAGTATAATAACTATTTCTGCTTAAAAAGGAAGCATGAACTTCTTATTAAAAGATTATTAGACTATACTTTCTTAAGCAATTATTGAGCATTTATTTGCTAGGCACTGCACTATTAGTATTCAGTAGGGTTAAATGAGCTACTTTTATTTTCATTCTACCGATGAGAAAACTGAAGCACAGAACAATTAAGTCATCTCAATTTGACACTTAACCACTATGAGCCCTCTTAATCACTGTTATGTTGCAGCAAGGGATTACCACAGGAAGGGCCAAGAAATAACAGGTAAGAGCAAAATGAAAGGCAGAAAAATTAACCAAAGCGCACATGAGACCAAAAGGACAGTGATCTGAGTCACTTTAGTGTAAGAGAAATAAACCTACATACCTTTAGTACAATAAAGACTGTTCAATAGAGGTTGACTGAGTAATCATATAAACTATCATAAGTACGGAACTTATGGCAATAAAATGGTTCAAATCAAAATTTAAGTTACCAAAAAGAAAAATTAAATAAATAGGTTGCTTGGATAATTCTTTACTTTCTAAGATCACCTCAGGAAACACAGGACTTACAAAAACATGCTCTACATAATATAAATATAATGTAGGACAGTAAACAAAATATACATAAAAACAATCCCAAAACTTTAAAATATTGTTAAATTATTAAATACAATTGTATCCTTAGAAGCAGACTTAATAATCATATTCTATGTGCTTATTTTGCTTTTCTCATAGCTGGCTTTAACAAATGTATAACATTTTAAATTATATATAATTTAACAGCTAACACAGAATGAGAACAAGATGAAATAGGCTTTAACAAAATAAATTCTAATCTTATATTTGTAAGATTTCTTCACAAACTGTATTAAAGTTTGGCTGTGACAATACAGTATACTGCCCAAATGTCATGGTGGATAACATGGCATTTAAAGTCATGCATTTTAAAAACATCATCCTGGCAACTAAAGAAAAGTAAGTACAAGGCAGCTAAGACTAAAAGCTAAAGTACCAGTTAAGAGGCAGTGATAGCAGAAAAATTAAAAAATGACCTTGAGCAAGTTACCTAATGTATCTACCTCATTTTTCTCATCTTTAAAATAATAATATTAATATCTACCTCGCAATTATTATGTGGATTTAATTCACACATTAAATAGCTGTAGGGGCCTGAATTAAGGCAATGCTAGTATATGGGAGAAGAGGGGTGGATTCAAGAAATTTAGGAAGTAAAACTCAGCAGGACTTAATAACATTTAAATTATGCTGCTTTTAAAAGTCGATATTCATGTCAACAGTAAGAAGGAAAGAATGCTGTGTTTGTTGAGATGCCTGACATGGGCAGAGGGGAGGAGTGGTAGTGAATAAAACACACTCATGTCATGTATGTGCCATCCCTGCTCCCAGATTTCTGGTTTTGGTGTGTGACTTGGAAAACTGTGGTGTTACAAATTGAGATAAAGAAAACAAGAGGAGAAATGCTATCTTTCAACATATGCTTGATGCATCCATGGCAAGTAAGATAGGGATACCCATCAGGAAGTTGACCATGCAAGTCTGAAATGTGAGAGAAGAATCACAAAAGAATACAAAGTCTGTGCACAGAGAAAAAGAATGAACTTCTCTGATCAAGTTCTGATGTCCAATTCACTAACATGAGATGGGAATGCTGGCATATACTGTTCTTAAGTGATCAAATTTCCTTACTTACACAAAGGAACAAGAATCAAATTATTTATGGATGTGACACAAAACAAAGTAAGAAAAACTGTCTTAGTACTTGAAGATGAAAGCCCGATTAAAAATTAGTAAAACTTATAAATGATAAATGTTTCCTAAACACTACAAAGAAATACTGAGTTGCACCACTGAATTTCCTACTTAAACTCTATCTAGGATGGTTTAAGTGAAGTCCTCTTGAAGCAGGAACCTTCTTAAGGTTACTTTCTATGAAGTCCTCTAGAACAGCGGTCACCAACCTTTCTGACCTCACGGACCGCCGGTTGCCGACCGCTGCTCTAGAAGTAAGTACCTGCTAACCTTAAGGTTACTCTTTATCAACTTTTACCTGGCTGAGCCAGACTTCTTAGTCAAGCCTCCTAATCTTAATTCCATAGCAGATACGGTAAATTCCTTGGAAACCTATATGACGATGTGTACCTATCCTCATGTGCCATCAATATACTCAGGCAACTAATGTTGATAATTCATGAAAGAATGCTTCTAATAATGACTTTAAGTATAAAATGTGGAAAGTATAAAACACATTTAAAATAATCTATTTTTACACTTAGTACCAAATCCTCCATAGCAGCACCACTTTGGTCCCCTCTCTGGTAAACATGACTTGAAGAGCAACCCAGATATAAACAACATGTGATGTGATTGTACATGTCAAACCTGAGTACTTTGTTTTAAAAAATGGTATGAAAGTCAAAAGTTGTAAGATATAAAGAAATAGAGTCATGAAATGAAAATGACTTCAAGACACATTTAACAGGAGAAAAAAAGAGAAAACGGTGAATAGATTTAATGGATTCAAAGTCCTCAAATGCAATCAAATCATAACCAGGAACAACTTGACCCCACTCATCCCACAGAGAGCGTTGGCATCTCCCTCCCAGCATTCTAATGAAATACCAATTAAACACACAGGAGAACCTCTAAGGCTGTACGGGACACTGCCATCCCATCTGCTTTACAGAAAGACCAGTATTATACAGTATAGAACTCAAATAGTAAAATGTACAAGCATCAACTCTACAACACAAAAATGCTCATTCTTAAGGTGCAAAAACTATTCCACATGGAGTAAAAGTGTTTTTTAAAAGCCAGGAATATATTTTCAGTAATATCAAAAAGGTCTAAATTTAAAACATCATACAGTACCTGTCTGTGTAGTGTAAGTTATAAATGTATTAGCAACTATTTTTCCCTGTTTTCCTTCCAAATCTTCATCTCCTTCTTCTTCAGAGGAAGAGCTGAAGTGTTCTTCAACAAGTTTTTTGGCCGCAGCTTGATTAGCCTTCTTGATTTCCTCAAATTTCCGTTGAGCCATTAGCTCTGCTTAAAGGGAGAAAAATAATGAGTCTCATTTCTGCAAACCAATCTCTCAAAAGGCAAGTCCTAAGTACTAATAAATCATTTTAAAATATAGATTTAAAAGTCACCTTTGGAGCATTCTATTTTACTAACATCCATGAAAAAACAGTATTCTCAAATTTCTTGTCACACAACAAATGAGGATGCCACAATAAAAACTTTCATGTTTGTAAATTACCCTGCTAAAAGCCGCAAATTGTTCTAAAAACAGTGACTGGCCCACCAAAGACTGTACTACATTTATGTACTACATTTATGTACTACATTTATGTAATCTGCTCTTTAGAAAGCTCAAGAACTTTTTGCCTGTATTAAAATGTGGTCACAAAACATATATATTTAACATTAATCCAAACAAAATGTTGCTAACACAGAGAATATACTTCTTACAACGTCATTCCAAAAAGAAATGCTAAGTTTTGGGTTATTCTTCCACTATTCTCTTTAGCACTATTTGTACTTCTCATTTTGTTACTGGGTTAAATAATGCAAAAATAATTAGATTACTTCATAGCGCATTCCCAATGAGAGTGCAAACTCCTCAAGAGCAAGGACCATGGGAATTTTCCTTAAGCACTAAGTGTTAATAAACTCTAATGGACAGCAACCACCTTTTAAGAAAGGAGCCACAAACATACTGAATTGATCTAAATTAATTAGTGCTCATATTGAGAGGATTTTAAATTTACTCATTTAAAATTTTCAATTGGCCCTGGCCCAGGCAGCTCAGTTGGTTACAGCATCATCCTGAAATGCCAAGGTTGCAAGCAACCAATGAATGTATAAATAAATAAGTGGAACAAATCAATGTTTCTCTCTCTCTCTCTCTCTCTTCCCCCCCTTCCTCTCTCTAAAAAAATCAAATAAAAAATGTTTTTAAATAAAAAATAAATAAATTACTAGTTTAAAATTCACTTTATACTTGAAACCAATGAGCCACTACTAAGATAAGCCTTCCTATTTTAGGTAGTATTTTTATCTTTTCTTTCCCTCACGAAATGTTTTCCCTTTCTTCTTGCAGCCAGTTTGGTTGGGGATTGTGCAGTGTTTCAAGTAAAACTGGAGGGAAATGTACAGTGTGCCACCTGGGAATCTTTTAGTATTAGGAGAAAAGTAATGTCTATTAGATATATGCATCAAAACTTGATGCACATCAAGAGAGATGACACACCTCACTCATTACGGGAAATAAGTAGTTAAGGAAACATTTTTTAAAAGGTTGGGTTAGAAGATATAATAAAAACATTCATCACCTGATCAATGTAACCACATAAGACGATCTCAAGAAAAGCTGACAAAGGAACCTTCCTATTTATTATTTCTAACAGTAAAATCTCAATTATAGCACAGGTTAAGAAGGCTGGCTTTTCTACGAGCCACAAAACCCAGTAAGGTTTACCAAAACTGTTCTCGGGTCTCCAACTCGCAGACCTCACCCCCATCATCAACTCAGTAACTGCAAGCTAGTAGAACACCACTCATTTTAAAATTAGCTTAGGAGAAAAAAGCACTTAGAAGCTCAATTTGCTTCTCCCCCCAACAACAACAACAAAAAAATTAAATATACATATATACATATATACATATACATATATAAACATATATACATATATATACACACATATATATGTATATTCTGAAAAATACATTCCAAGCTCACGCAGAAAAATGACTTCAGGAATTATTCCTGGCCCCACGCACTTTACTTTGTTAGTAAAGACGACCTGGTGTGTGCGCTGCTCCCAGCTCCCCTGAAACACAGCCTTGCACGAAAGACACGGACAGACGGGAGGAGGCCACACCGGCCACATCCAGGAAAAGCCCACAAGTTTGTGAACAGGAACCAGAAACGCACCGCAGCTGAAGAGCTGACGGGACACAGAGCGTGAAAGTCAGCAAACAGCGATCGGGCAGAGACGGGGAAGGACGGCCGGCCCCAGACGCAGGACAAGACCCTGTCGCTGCGGTGCCCCGGCTCGGTCGAGGTGGGACCTCCGCCTCGCGTCCAGCTGACGGTGGCCACGCCGTCGTCAGAGTGGTTCCCAAGAAAAGCTGGCCAGGTTTGCATGAGATTAAAACACACACACACACACACACAACAGCAACAACGACGAGCGCCAATCCAGCCTGAAAACCTGCGCTAACCAAACCAAACTGCAGGTGAGGCGAGCGAGCCCTCCGGACCACAACGTGCAACTTGGGGTCTAGAACGTCAGGAGGCAAAATGAATGAGGGGAAGAGCAGAGGGCGGAGAACTGGCGAAAGTTAATGATGCATTAAAATTAAGAGAAAAGGTTTTTTCCAACAACGACCAGCGCCAATCCAGCCTGAGAACCTGCGCTAACCAAACCAAACTGCAGGTGAGGCGAGCGAGCCCTCCGGACCACAACGTGCAACTTGGGGTCTAGAACGTCAGGAGGCAAAATGAATGAGGGGAAGAGCAGAGGGCGGAGAACTGGCGAAAGTTAATGATGCATTAAAATTAAGAGAAAAGGTTTTTTCAGTTAATTTAACATTAAGACGGGACTGTGCCTAGCATCCCGAAGAGGAGCAGCCAGGAAGGTTTGCCGGGAGAAGACGAGGAGCGAGACAGCCGACGCGAGGCGGTCCCGCGGCGGGAGCCGTCCCCACCGCCCG